TTAATTTTTCACAACATATTACAATGTATAATCCATGCATTGAATCAGATTTCCTCCCTGGAAAACTGACAGTTTGCTATCTACTGAGACATTCCACATAAGAGCAAAAAATGTTATTAGTGTCAACTTTGATCAGGAGTATACAGTTACCACCAACTCACACATCCTGTTTTAACTTCATGTTCATCAAATTGATGAGCTCTAAAAATAGCATCCCTAAAACCTGGCCTTTCAGAAGATGGGTCATTAAATGATCCTTATCCAGATCTATTCTTTTGTATAAGACTACTGTCTAGGCTCAGCACCTGTGGCTCAAGTGGCTAAGGCGCCAGCCACGTATACCCAAGGTGGTGGGTTCGAATCCAGCCTGGGCCCACCAAACAACAATGACGGCTGCACCCAAAAAATAGCCAGGCGTTATGGCGGGCGCCTGTGGTCCCAGCTACTTGGGCGTTGTGGCAAGAACCTGTGGTCCCAGAAGACTCGCTTGAGCCCAGGAGTTGGAGGTTGCTGTGAGCTGAGATGCCACGGCACTCTACCCAGGGGGACAGCTTGAGGCTCCTGTCTCAAAAAAAAAGACTATTGTCTAAGGAAGAAAGGCATAAACAAGCAGATAGGAAAACTAACTCTGATTCAAAGAAACTGCCTCTTTATTTTAAATATCTTAACTTTTTTAAGGAAATTCTTAACTTCTTACACTGCCTTCCAGGTTGGTTCCTGGTTCTGTTAGGTTAAGTGAACATACCTCAATCTCTCCCCTTTAAACTAATTCAGAGTGGGTGCAAATGAGTGGAACCAGTCGTTTATGTGTGCACGCAAAATCTCAGTCTGCCATTCTACCCATACATAGTTCATTCTCAAGATACGGTCAAGATTTTAAAAAGTTGTTCAAACATTCTCGTAGATGTGGTCAAGATTTTAAAAAGTTGCTCTAAGTAAGATTTGAATCTGACCTTCCAGAAGTCGAAATTCTGATTCTAACTTTGGGGATGATCATTAAGAAAAGTAAGAAACATGCGGTATTAGGCCACATTTTCAACAGTCACCATCTGGCTCCTTCTCCCCACTCCATTCCCCATTCCTCACCTGGAGAGAATCAGACTGAAGAGCTACTCTGAGGTCCTGCAGATAAACTTTGTGAAAAGACAGGCCGGAAATGGTAATAACTCAACATCACAATGGTATACTCAAGTTTCAAAGAGGGCTATTTTTAATTTTATAAAGGTCGTGGCCAAAGATTTTCACAGGTGCTTTTGGGAACTGATAATCTCATAACAAAAGTTAGAACTCAGTATATTTTTGACAGCAATGAGCACCAGGTAGAATTTTAGCTCCAATATAAATTCAAGTTCCCCAAATGAGTCCAGCTTTACAAAAAGAGCCTGTCTCCCCCACCACATCGCATGGTAAAACTAATTTATCCAACACTTACCTTGTGATCAAAATTCCTATGGTGTAGTTGTATCAAATTCTGCTATATTTGTCCAGGTCCTGATAGACTATTGCCTGATTATACTAGATAATAACACTAAGTATTATCGGTGGTAAGTGTAGTTATTATTTAAAATGTCAACTTGTTCACAGCATCCTTCTTTCATTAGAATCTAGCATCCCCTGGATTTCTGATTTCAATCCGAAACACACATTAGACTTGCCTGTGGGGTTTAATAAAAATGCAATGTCTAAGACTCACTCTAGACTTAATCAATCTTTTAGGATTACTATGTTATATCTGGAGGGTTTATTTTTCCTCTGTAAAACTTTATTCATTCACTTTTGTATAATCAGAAGTGACACTCCCTGATGTCTTTGAAATAGGCCCGCTCCTCCTTCAAGACAGTCTGTTTAATTTGGGGGAAATGACTTTACAGTCTTCTTTTGCATGTCACATGATGCACTATTCTTATTATGAATTCTCATTAGGCCTTTTGCACTTTAAAATTGTTGATAGCAAACCAACCATTGCCATTCAGTTTCTTTTTTTTTTGAGACAGAGCCTCAAGCTGTTCCCCTGGGTAGAGTGCTGTGGCATCACAGTTCACAGCAATCTCCAACTCCTGGGCCCAAGCGAGTCTCCTGCCTCAGCCTCCCAAGTAGCTGGGACCACAGGCGCCCACCACAGTGCCCGGCTATTTTTTGGTTGTAGCCGTCTTTGTTGTTTGGTGGCCCGGGCTGGATTCAAACCTACCACCTTAGGTGTATGCGGTTGGTGCCTTAGCCACTTGAGCCACAGGAGCCTTTCAGTTTCTGTCATCTCTAATTGTTCAGTTTTCCTCCAATGCTTGCTGAAGTTTCACTAGCTGGGCCAGAATTTGTGTTTGCAGCAGAGAAGACTCGTGGAAGTCCCCTGGTAAAGATACTTTAACTATACTTTAAACAAATCACACTTCAAAGGACAGACACTTGCTATCAATTAAAATTAATAAAAAAGAAAGGACAGACACTTGGACACAGGCATCTGGTGACCGCAGTGGGCTGACACAGGACTGGCAGAACTTTAGGGGAGAGCAGACAGTTTCACGGTACTACAGTAACTCAAGATTGAGAGAAACAAGAATAAATGACATAACCCTGAGCAGACTGATACAGGACACTTTTATCAGAGTTATTTGTTTAGTGTATTGCTTTATTGTTCCATGTTCTGCATACTTAAGTCCTTTTTCTTTCCACTTCAACTATCTGTAACCCATAACATTATGGTAGACTCTGCTTCTGTGAACTGAAATGAAACATTTTAAAATGATTATCTGAGGGGGCACCCATAGCTCAGGGGTTAGGATGCCAATCACCTGCTCCTAGGCTGGTGGGTTCCAACCGGGCCCCAGCCTGCTAAACAAAACAAACAAAAGAATAGCCAGGCATTGTGGTGGGCGCCTGTAGTCCCAGCTACTATGGAGGCTGAGGCAAGAGAATTGCTTGAGCCCAAGAGTTTGAGGTTGCTGTGAGCTCTGACACCGTAGTGATCTACCTAGCGTGACAAAGTGAGACTCAGTCTCAATAAAAAAATAAAAAAAAATAAAATGATATCTGAGTCTCACTAATCACAGAGTTCAGAAACTTTATCTGGTATCCTTACTTTTATGAGGCAATATGGTTATTTGTATGCATTCAATTATAATCTCTCTTCTTTTCAACCAGGATATAATTGGGAAAATCCATTATACAAACAATGTCTTGCCTGAAATGCAAGGTATTTGAGAAGGAAGCTCATTGGATCAGATAAAACAAGCCACTTAATTTCCACTGGGAACTTTACCTATAGCTCAGGATTCCAATGCTGTATTATGAGCAAAAACTGTACAAGCTTATCTCTCTCCTAAAATCTCCCTGTGTAGGAGCAACAGGTTGGGAATTACATGCCCCATTAGTACCTTATTACAAGTGACGACTGTGTAATTTCTGTGAGGCCAGACTATAGGATGACCAGAAATAGGGCACTTTGAGGAGAGATGGCTGATCACCCCGAGGTGATCAGAGGTGAGCCCAGGAAGTAGAATGAAGGTCAGACGCTGGGGTAGCCCTTTGGGAAGCTGTGCCCTCCAGCACCACTCTCCTAATTAGAAAGGTGCTGTGATATGTTCCGATATGTTCCCCAAGTCAGGATCTTGAGCTTATCATAACTCTCCAATGACAGTCATTTTCACCTCTCGGCAGGGAAAGTGATACTCAGTTTAAGATAATCACAACACAATTTCATGAATGCAGAGGGCATTTTCATCTCACTGCAAAATTAACTTACCGACTAAGAGGTCACAATACCAAGGAAGAAGGGAGATAAAAATCACAAGACAAATAACAAAATTGAAAGGTCAAATAATGTGCTCAGCCAAAGTTGTTGGAACAGGAAGATCTCCTGGTGACCCTGTGCCAAATAGGCGTGAACTTAAAATTTATTACATAATTAAGCTATTATACTTAGAGCCTCCTACCTCATTTTTAAGGTTAACAGCTCAATGTTAACACAGAAGCTAAGTTAATATTTACGGAACATCCACATCCCTAAAACTATGTTAAGTTCATTACAAACATAATCTCAATGTCAGGAATATTAACCTCCTAGTAAGATTAAAGTAGATTATATTCATTTAATCTCTTTTAAAAGCATCATAAATTATATGAGGGACTTTTAGGATTAAACATATCACATTCTTTGCTACAGTCCTATATCACTAGAAAAAAAATTGAAAAATTTATAAAATCTCAATTTCTTACCAGAATTTATTGGAAAGATGCTTCTTTCATTCATTTAAATAGTTACTGACTCCAGAAAACCAGATACTGCACACACATACAAACAGGTACACACATACTTTTGTGTTTACTCAAGGCTACTAAATTGCAGCCCAAAAAGAATGGCTCTGGGTGAAACTGGGCCTCTAGATTTTGCTGAACAGAATCCTCAAGTCTGAGTTAAGAGCTATAGGAAATCATCCTGGATCAATGAAAACAGATCCGCCTCCACCCTCCCTCCAAAAGAACCTACCTGCTCCTTTAAATGAAAACCTAATATTTGAGAGTATTAGTTTGAAAGGATGCAAAATAATTAGCCAGCTCAGAGCATTCAACTTTTTTTTTTTTTTTTTGAGACAGCGTCTCAAGCTGTTGCCCTGGGTAGAGTGCTCTGGTGTCAGAGCTCATAGCACCTCCAGCTCTTGGACTTAAGCAATTCTCTTGCTTCAAGCTCCCAAGTAGCTGAGACTACACAGGCGCCCTCCACAATGCCCAGCTATTTTTGTTGTTGCTGCAGTTATCATTGTTGTTTTTTAGCTGGCCAGGGCCAGGTTCCAACCACCACATTGGTGTATGTGGCCAGTGCCCTACCCACTGAACTACCAACAAGAACATCCACGTGCCTCAGACCAGCAGCGCAGGCAATGAGAGTCACGTGTATAGCCTCCTACAAAATCCTGCCCTCCTGCCCTCCCGGGAGAGTCGGCCAGACTGCATGCCCGCCTGAGAAGCCATCTCTCGGCAGAGGCCCCAGGAGACAGAGCCGCTACCTGACTTTCTCCGTGGCTCCTCCCGCTCTCTGCTCTGAAGACAGACTTGGGCTTCCGGGACTTGAAGTTGCCCATGCTGGGTCGCAGCGCTCCGTCCAGCAGCACGCTCTGCTCTACATGCTGGGGGGCCTCGCGCAGGGGCGGCGCGCGCTCCTCTACCAGCGCCCCGGCGTCCGGGTAATTCTCTTTATTGTTTTCATCTCTAAAACAGGAAAGACCCGATTTAGAAAGCACTTTTAAAAATAAATGAACAAAGCCGAGGGAAAAAGGCGATATGCATTGCTGCTATATTTGTAGGTACCTAGCAAAATGTTTAGCTTGAACTTAGAGAATTTCACAGGAACAGGATTTTAAGAAATGTGAATTTCACTCTTTTCATCACTCCACCTTCCGCTACTCTCTTGTTAATTAGTGAACATAGTTTTTGTAGTTGTAACTATGCACATACCACCATTACGTCTTTTTAATTTTTCACTTTAAGACGTTAAGATTCACCCGTATCCCAGGATTCCAATGCTGTATTACGAGCAAACACGATACAAGCATTATTTATCTCCTAAATTTTCCTGTGTATGAGCTTTTTCTTGTATAATTTTTTCACATAATGAGATATTAGCATTATGTTAATATCTTTAAGCATAACAGTATTGTGAGATACTGTCATCTCAAATTTATAGACTCTCAGACCCAGTAATTAAATAACATGCCTCTTGGAAGGATTCAGACAGACCCAAGGGACTCAGGTAGTGGTCCAGACTCTCATGCCTCTGTTCTTAGATTAAGGCATGATGCTTCCTCTTCCCTGACAATATCAGTTTATAATCATCTCCCTATAACTTTCAGAGCCATTTAAACGTCTAACAGGATCTGTTTTGACAGGTTACTTGTTGTGTGGGTATAATGTAAGGCAAGGGCCCTGTCTGACCCAGGCAGGCCATGTGAACAGTGCCCTGAGGCTGAGTTCACCATCTCACTGTCTGGGCTCTATCAGCACTGAGTCACTGAAGACCAGGTAGATTGGTGTTTCCTCCATACATTCTGTGCTAGGAGAGCACTCCAACTCTTCACTCAACCACCAAATTCCACACCCGCCCCTCTCCAGTTTCAAATTCTGGAAAAATACTGATATGATAACACTCTTAGATGAAGCCATTTGTCTCACTTAAATCTAGACACATTTTAATTTTCATGTTGCTAAGCATCAAGCAAATGCCATTGACATAACCAAATGAGACCTTCTCTTTAGTGATCACTAGCATCAACTTACCCCATTGGCAATCATTAGCACTCAATTACGCAGTTCAGGAGGACTGGCCTCCTCCCCCAGTGTTGTTTTCCCCCCAGGCTCTCTTACCACCCAGCACCCATAAGGGAGCTTTTGCAAGGTCAGCTAGGAAGCAATTCCTTGTTGCTCAAGGACATAAAAAGCCAAGAGGCAAGACCAGCCAAGGAGAGATATTTCCCTTTTTACAAATGAAAAGGAGATTAAACTCACTAAGCTGATTTCAGGGGAAGATGAGCTCCAGTTAGTTTCTGGGAAAACAGCAAAGCAAACATCAGGCTAGGTGGTCTGGAGCATAACCAGGTGATGGTAAGGTGTAAAAATAAAACTACATAAAACTGGAAAACAGTTAAACATAGGTCCAGGACAAACTTAGTGCTGTCTGGAAAAGGAAACCCCCCAAATCAAATAATTCTTCAATTGAAGAAAACAAAAGCAAAAATCAATGCCAACAACACTGGTTGATATGCCTCCCTTAAGATCATTTACAATTTAAAATTTTTTTTTCTAAGTCACTACCAGTTTTAGAGTTAATATCAAACCATAAATTGGAAACTACAATAATTCATTTCAAGTGCATTTCTTTTCACCTGTTAGAAACAAAAGAAAGAAGAGCTGCCTTTTTCATTACCTAACTGCTCATTCGAGTAGGATGCAGAACACTCAAAATAAGGGTAGAAAAAGTCCTTTTTCAAATCTAAAATGACTCTTTTGATAGACTCATTCCCCAGATAATACCTACCCTTTGTTTTTATATCATATCTTCAAATCACCTAAAATTTATAAATGTGATCTTCTTGTTCACTTCCTTGACTTGAAAGGGAGGGAAGAAAGGAGGAGGCAGAAAGCAGCTTTGTCTCATTACACAACTGTAAAACCTGATTGCAGAAGTCATCTCTAGAAATACATTTTCTAACATATTACTGGTTACCGAGGATCCTCAAAACCGAAAAGTACAGGTATGTAATTTATGCCACTACTTATTGGAATAAATCATAACAGAACGATCATAGTGCCCTGAAATCAGGCAGAGGCTGAAGACCCTCCTGGGTGTATAGCCTGGGCCCTCGTCATTTTATCTCTGAGACCCTCATTCATGAAAAGATGTGGCCAACACATACAGAATATTTTGTAAATATGTTGTGAAATAGGTTTAGCTACAATTTCCCATTTTCCCTGTGTAGGGTGAGTTTTAGGGGTGACTTTTGGGACATGGTATAAATTCTTGCCTATCTCTCTGGTGTACTGCATTCCTAGGAGCAGGAATCAGTTTGGCTTCACTACCCAAATGTTGACTGGTTTCTGGCACACAAAATAGGTCTTTAACGTATGTTTGTTATAGTTAAGTGGACTTTAGACTCAAACAGACCTGGGTCCAAATTCTGCCTCACTCTGCTATGTTACCTTGGATGAGCTATCATCTTTCTGAGCCTCAGATTAAAGGATGAAATGTAGATGAAAGTGCTTGGAACAAAGTAAATGTGGAAAAAGGTGGTTATGTGCAAAGGTCCTGCCACTATACCATGAGCCCTTGATGGCCAAGGCCACACTACACTCAATACCATGTATGGTGAATAATGTAGAACTGCTTCCTTATGGTGCATGATGGGAACATGGAGACCGGCCAATCAATGTTCAAATCAGTAGGCATTTATCGAGCATCCCTCATATATAAGGTACTACCCTGGGTGCCAAGGGGGGTATCTAAAAGTGAACAAGACAAAACTTCCTTCAAGAGCTAAAAACCAGCTGGGTGTGGTGGCTCACACCTGTAATCCTAGCACTCTGAGAGGCAGAGGCAGGAGTTTGAGACCAGCTTGAGCAAGAGCTAGACCCTGTCTCTATTAGAAATAGAAAAACTAGCCAGGCATTATGGCAGACACCTATAGTCCCAGCTTCTTGAGAGGCTGAGGCAAGAGGATCTTTTGAGCCCAAGAGATTGAAGTTGCTCTGAGCTACTGATGCCACAGCACTCTATCAGAGTGACAGAGTGAGACTTTGTCTCAAAAAATAGGAGCTGAAAACCTCATAGAAGAGATAAGGCAAGAGAACAAATAATTACAATTCAAAGAAGAGATTAGAAGTCAAAGAAGAGCCACCAGACCCACATGGCTTCTGTCTCCCACAAATATGAACCAAACAATGGTGGATCGAACCTGAGACTGGAGCAATCAATCTGGTCTTCATGTAGGGAGACTGTGTCTTCGTCACACCTAGGGAGAGGGAACAAAAATCATATCGTATCCACTATAGCAGTAGCAGCAATAACCTAGAATTGCCCCGAGATTAGGAAGGTAAACTAAGAAGAGTAACAGCCCTCACTACTCTTTCCCACACAAGCTCTGATTCCCAGCATGTCTTCCCAGTAATGAACCAATGTTGCTACACCGTGGGAGCCTGAAAGCTCAGAGCCTGGTGGGGCTCTCCGTCGTCTCCGCTGCTCTGCATCAGTAAGCTAACAAGGTCTTAGCAAGGACCTAAGTGCTCACAGGACTTGAGGGGACGTCATGCCCTACGACTGGTGAATTGCTGGCAATTCCACTACAGGCCTCCTTGTATTTTCTCCATTCAGGCAGGCCCAAACCATAGCAGCTCCCATTTGCCTTCTGCATTGGCCTTGTATTTTCTTGGGGTACCTTTTCATTAAACTTCTTGACTTTATGAAAAATTCTTGGCTTTTCTTTATTGAAAAAAATCTGCAGGGTTCTACACTGCTTAGGAAGCTGTAGGGTAGGACCATTCTCTCACTCTAACGTAGGAGGGAGCCTTTGTTCCTGTTCTCAGCTATTCCCACCCTGTCCCACCCCAGCCAGGAATGCTTTTCCCCTCTTCAACTCCTACTCATCCTTCACTGCCCAAGTCAGGTCCCACCAGGTCTGTGAGCCTTCCCAGCCAAGTTCACCCACGTGCCTTGTTCCCACTTTAATCTTAATGCCTAATGTTTACTCTCCATTCTTAGGTTGTGATTGCCACCTACACCTTATCTCATACTGCTATGTATTCTTTTTCACCTCTGAGATCTTTTGATTAGTGCCCAATTCCATGAGTAGAAATAACTATAATTTCTTTTTCTAGATACACTGCCATAGCACCAGAGTACCCCAGGACAGAGACTAACAAAACATTCAAATTGAAATATTCATTCACGCATTCCCTCAGCAGGTCTGGCTCCTGAAATAATTTAACAAGCATTTATTGAGTGTTTACTGCATACTGCCTTAGGTGTTGAAGCTGTGATTCTCACACTCTCTGGGGTTCCTGGACCAACCCAGTTTATTTTTCATTTCCAATACAATGTGGACAAATATTGTGGTAAAAATATCAAAGCATTGTCCAATTCCTATTAAAGTTGTTAACTGCTCACTATTTCTGGTTTTTTTCTTGTCTCAGACAAGTTACAGTTTGGAGACACACTTTGAGTAGCACTGCTTTTTATGGACAAAAAATTTGATCCTGTTCTGAGAAGTTCAAAATGTAATGAGTAGACAAAAATGAAAAAGCAATAAATACTTGCATGCTTAAATACAAACCTAATACAGTGTTCATACTACACAAAATAATTTTCAAGTTTTGAATATTCTTTCTGGCAATGGTATATAATTAACCTATGGAATAAACTGAGGAAAGCTCCAGCCTTCTTTCCTTGCAATCTCTTTTTAAACTTTGGTTTTGTAGAGAATTAAACAAAAGACAGACTCTAACCTTCTCTATCCACAGAAATACATTGTTCCCTTTGGCAATTAAAAAAAGCATTGGTTGACTTAACAAAATGTTTCTTTAAATAGAGTGAAAAAAATTTTCTTGCTTTCTTGCCAATAACCTACTCTGTCCATCTCATAAAAAAACAACAATTAAATTCACAAGTATTGCCTTCCCCTCCATTAGCCGCATTCACCTAATAGATCATCCAGGCATTGTAATGTAAATAGAAATGTTTTCCAATAACAAAGTAGAAAAATCAATGAACAACAGAAAACTAGAATTGTTGCTTCCAAAGAGCCAGAGCTCAACAATACCTATTGTTTGGGGATTTGGCAAGAACTTACTTTTCCCCTTCATTTGATTTACTAATCTTTCTCCTCAAAGGATAGTCAGTTAAAAGTGGAAACTTGGCACCGGAACATACAAAGTTGCAGATGCTTTCCCAACTATGAGGCTGGACCTAATTGGTTGATCCAAGGGTAATGCCTACTGACAACTCTGGTTGCCACTCAAGAAAACACAATTCCAAGCTCACAGGTACAGCAGTTGAAATAGATCTACCTACCAGCTTATGTGGCACATGTAAACAAGGTCTTGAAGTTCAGTTGCGTTTTTACTACTTTGATAAAGACCCATCAACTTCTGTTCAACTAGCTGCTCCTCTCTGTCCTTGCCCACGAGCCCCCTGCAAATGTACAATACTGGCCCAAATGTAAAACCAGATTCCACAGTGGGAATCCATATCCAGAAATTAGTACTTCTGGAAGAAAATCAGCTCAGACCAAATGGCCCATTGATCTGAGGCATAGCATTCTCTTTCTATGTGATAGCCTTAAATAGGAATTTAAAGACTGATCTCTTTAATGATTTCGCTTTTAGATATCTCAAACCAGGCATCTTCTAGTGCAATGTTTTTCACTGTTTATGTGACCTATTAGTTAGTGGGTCTTAAAATTAGACAGAGGCTACCAGCAATTTTTTTTTTTTGTTAGCATTATTAGAAACAGAGCAGAAAATGTCAGCATAGTAAAATTAATTGTTGGCCCATGGAACTTATTTAAATTACATTTATGTATGTGTTATGGAATACAGTATAGAATGCTTTTCTTATGGTTATTTATAGTATAAAAATAATGTGAATGGCACCATTGTCAAACGAGTTTCCTTGCATTGGTTTTCATCAACTAGATTCTACATCCAAGAGCCCTTCATTTTTGGTGGCCTAGACAATATGTGGATGGTTTAGCTTGGCAATCACTTTTTTGTGAAATGGTCAGGGGTTTGGGGTGTTATTTTGGACTTTTACTCCCTCCATCACCAACAAGAAAAGCTGGTACAGTACTTCATAGCTCACCTGCTCTTTCACACCATCTCATATGAGGCTGACAATGAAGTTGCTGGGAGGCAGGAGCTACCTTCATTGGTCTTAGAGGCTAGGTTACTTCCCAGGGTTCCAAGGCCTAAAGCCAAGTCTGGATTGTTTCTGCTCCACTACAGAAGGGCAGGAACTAAATAACCCCTCCATCTATATCCTTAGAATCATCGCAGTGAAAGAAGTGCCCAGGAGAAGTTCTCTTTTCCAACTAAATAAGAAGAGAGGGCTCAAACTGGCGTTTAGATAACATGTAGTTGTGCTAAAAGGTATTTCCATTCACCCTGTACTACCAAGTTCCCTAAAGGCAAAACTGCAGAGGTAGAGCCTCGGGTGGGAGCTCTCCAAGTATGGCCCAGAACTACTTATACTAGCACTACCTGGATTACCTGATGAAAATAGCAGAGCCCAGGCCCACCCTGACTCCACAGCCTCTACATCAATTCCCCTAATTTTTAAACCAAATTGCCCACCCACATCAACACTATGCTTCTCAAACGTTTAACAGCGACCTAAAAGTTTCCAAATCCCAGATCATCAGTGGACTAACTTCAACACAATCACCTTTTCCCCTTTCCCACGTTGAGATAAATCCAGGGAGACTGTATTTTTCACAAGCGCCACTCCCCTTCCCCATGTGATACTGATGATCTTTTGAGAACCACCACTTAAAATGATAATTAATCATAATTATTGCAGGCCAGGGTTCATTTCAATAGCAAGTTAGCGTGGGCAATATAGGTAATGACCATGGAAAAATAATAGATTTGAGTGGCATCTGTGGCTCAGTGGGTAGGGCACCGGCCCCATATACCAAGGGTGGTGGGTCCAAACCTGACCCTGGCCAACCTGGAACAAAAAATAGCTGGGTGTTTGTGGTGGGCGCCAGTCCCAGCTACTCGGGAGGCTGAGGCAAGAGAATCACCTAAGTCCAGGAGTTGGAGGTTGCTGTGAGCTGTGATGCTACAGTACTCTATAGAGTACAATAAAGTGAGACTCTGTCTTAAAAAAAAAAAAAAAAGAAAGAAAGAAAAAGAATAGATTAAAAGGCACCACAGATAGAGAGGAAAGGCCAACGCCATTCTGATGTTGAAAAAATTGAGGTTGAAAAAGAAATTTAATTGGTTGAAAGTTTCATATATAGCACCAAGCCTAAGAAAAACCACGAAGAAAATAAAACCTGTCCTTGAGTATCTCCCAATTTATTTTCCCTTTGACCCTTATGAGATCCCCAGCTGGCCAAGAAGAATTTGGCAACTTAGAAAACAGAGTAGAAAAAATAATTCACATTAAAGTACTAATGACAACTTGAATCTACCTCCTGCAGCACAAACTTTTTAATTTCTATTGTAACAAGGCTCACTGTCAAAAGCTTTTATCCAAAAGAAATCATCTCTAGGTGGAATTTCAAGCACTAAGAGAAAGGAACTTGTCTTATATCCAAAACACGTAAAAGAAGAAAGTCCTTCGTTGTAGGCCAAAATCACCCCCAAACCTGCTCTGTCTGTATCTCAGGATCATACACCCTGGTCTTTCTGTGTATGGGGTCATGTCCAGAGAACCAAGGAACATGGTTCATACAACTGAAGGGCGGGGCAAAGGTTATATAGGACAACAACTAGTTTTAAAGGATCCCAGTCCATGCTATATCACACCTATTAAGCTTTTGGTGTGTTTTCCATATGCTCCTTAGATTTTTATATTAGCCAGATGGCATCCCAATTATCACTCACTGCCTTTTAAAATAAATCACTGTCATGTCTCTGAAAGTAACAACATGATCTTATGCAATCAGAACTCCTTGGGGAGTGTCCAAAAACAAGGCACCAGACTCTCCCCAGCATTTAACCATAAAACCTTTTAGATAAAAAATGTCCATGTGAAATCTGGAACTAAGTGCCTCCATTTTGAACCTTCTATTCTGTGACTAACTCTGGAGAATCAGAGCCAGAAAACACTTGGTGCTTGGAAGCACAGTACGGGAGGAGAACAGTACCTGTGCACCTTGACCAGGAAGTCCAGCCTTATCTCCGGCCTGCAGATGCACAATTTGGCACACCTCTCTCCCTTTCTCTGAGGCTTATAGAAAGGCAATTTTGCAGCACAACTTACCAAGCAATCATAAAAAAGATGCAGGTCCAAATGAGTATTTTATATTACATTTTCTAAAGTCAATCCTGTTTGTTTGTTTTTTTTTTAAGTGGCTTTGAAGTGGACACTAAGATAACAGCATATCCAAACAGAGAAACAAAAGAATATGGGAAACCAGAGGGCCTGGGAAGTACTGTGGAATCTTACCCCTCCCTCACCATGTCACTGGGACAGTGGTGGGACCTGAAACCCAAAAGATATCTACTTCTACATTTATTTGCTTTTTAGGAAACTCTAGCAAACAGCTTCCAAGTTAATGGGGTTTTCTACATCAAACTTGAAACATATTTTTGAGACATAGTTGAGTCTACAACTTTACACATGACTTTTTCCTGAAAAGCTGTTGAGAGTGACTTCTACAAAAGGTCCCGGGAGTAAACACCATGAATTAACCTAGACAAAATACACTAGAGGAAGCATATTATATGTAAATTACATATAGTATTAGAAAAATATATTTCCTATTAATTTTAACATATATGTATAGTATAAGACATATTAGAACAAGATATTAAGGAAGAAATGAATTATAAATATCTAGTGAAAAAAAACTACTGTGTCTGCTGACCTAACACTCCAAATGGTGTTAGTTGCCCTAATCAACAGCTTTAACTGTAAGACCAGGTGACTCATTCCTCCTATAGGGAGATTTTTCAAGCCAGAGGATAAAAATGACAAAAGGCATGCAAGAAAAGTTTGTGTGTCTTAAAAATCTGTAGACAAGAGAGGGCAAAGATAAGTTTAGCCTGTTTATCACATGCTGGAATTCAACTCAAGTCATTTCACAGCCATTTCCCATCGCTGTAAATGTACATGGCGTGCACTCCATGAAAACTGACGCCAATGTTGGCAAAATACAACAAAGCTTCCTTTCTGATATGTCAAATAGATTTTTTAACATTCTGAGCTCCCACAACACATAGCAGTGCATCAGGCTCGCGCACGGAATCAGCTAGTTTTCATCTCTCCTGCATCCGCCAAGATGCTAATTTCAACCTGTAAAGATTTGGGGCCCCAACCCTCAGCACGTCTCGGCCGAGGTCTTCACAGCCCCAGATTACAGGAGACAATGCGTCTAACGTGAACAGCGGCTGGGGCCGGCGGAGGATACCTTCGCGATAGTTGCTTCCAGAGAAAGGCATGCAGTCTAATTTTAACAGGGACAATCACTTACTCTGTTACAGCGGTGCTGTTGAAGGAATTATCCTGAAGGCTGAAACAGAAACAAGAAAACATCAGCCAAGTCCGGCCCGGGAGCCGTCTCCCTGGTTGCTCTCCGGGAGTTAGAGCGCATACACAAACATGGCATTGCAAAGCAAGTCTCAGGGCTCGCCCGGCACGCTCGCTCTACCTTGGGCTGCTGTCTGCACATGCTCGTAACGACACCCCCAGCAGGGGCCCAGCCGCACAGGCGAACCACAAAGCCCGGCAGCCCACGAGGCTGCGGGGACACAGTGGGGCGGGGCGCGGCGGCGAGGCGGCGCGGGCCGGGACCGGGATGCAGCACCGAGCAGCTGGAGAGTTACCGCGCCACCCCAACCTTGCCAGCCGCAATTAAGCCCGGGCTGCTTGTGCCAGGCACCCCCAGAGCCGGCGGGAGGAATGCCCCCACCCTTTCTGCCGAAGTGCTGAAATACCCGGGAGACTCGCTTTCTTCCAGACGTCTCCTACCAATTTCTCCGTGCTATCCCCCCACCCTGCTGAGCCCATCCCCCCAGGGAGGAAGGCTGGGAGAGGTTCATCCACCCTTCAGAAAAAGCCAGGAGGGAAAGAGAAAGGGGAGGGGGACATGACTGGTGTATTTTATTTTTATTGTGTGATTTTTTTTTTCATTGCCTAGGAAGAAGAGCCACCGAAGGAGGGCTGGCTGCATCACACCCGATCTGTCTGCGATCTGTTATTTCAGTCCCGAAGAGGAAGCGCCCAGCCCCGGACTACAGAGCTGTGAATGAGCCCACGCAGGGCGAGTGGAGAATTTACTCCAGGCGTTAGCTGATTAGGACACTGTGCAAAGGGAGGGCCTTGCCGAGCCTGGAGCAGCCCGCCAGAGCTGGGATCCTTAGCCCCTAGGCGAAGGACCGAGAGGCCGAATCCAGAAAAGCTATCCTTTGAATAAAGGAAGCCCAATTGGGACAAGGAAAGACCGTCAGCTCCCACTGGGGATACTGGTCCTGCCTTCTTTCCATTGTTCATTTCTCCTGCCATGTTGACCTGGATATGGAATGAACAGACATCTATGAAAGATGTTTATTTGAATTTTGAAATAAGATCCACATCCCTCTTTTTAATCTTTCCACTCCCAGAAGCAGCTGGGATTGTAGTCCAAACTATATAAGCCAATGAGTTAACTTATGACAAAAACACTCAAATTTTTTTTTATTTTTGGATAATTAGAAAAAAACACTAAAACCTGGAAATAAGGAGGAAGAGCATACCTTTGGGTGTCACACTGAGACACACTGGTTAACAGGTCCACCCAAGAGCTAATTAATTCTCCAGGAAAATGTACTTGAGTTTGACTTTGCTACTCACTAGTGATCACATTCCAGCCAAAGTGAAGTTACATGTTAACTTGCACATTTTGTTCAACCTGTCCAAAGGAACATTGCAGGAAGTTAACCAGTTTTTGCATCTAACCAAAGTAGCATTTTTCCTAAACGACTAGCCTCAAAATGTTCTTAGAACTAGTTTCACCATCTTAGTTTTCCTTATTAATAAGTGAATAGATCTCTGATGCCTGCCTCTATTTGTATGAGAGTTATGTTTTTAACTTGGAACAATCAAAACTGAGTTATAATTTAAAAATGAAAATTGAGTTTTCATAGAAAAAAATAGCTTTCATTAACGTTCTTTGAAATTTCACTTTTCTCTCTCCAACTTTTTTAAAAATCAGCCAAATGAAAAACCTAATACGGTCTCAGACTTGAACCTACAGACTAAAATAAGTTCAGAAATATTAATACCTTGAATATTTGACCATATAGTACATATATGCTCCCATGTCACCTACTATCTGTGGTATGAGTTAGAGTCAGATGTGACAGACACGGGTGATTCACTGTATTCATTATTTAACCATCTCAGATTGAGATCAGTTCTTGGTTTACTATGTCTGATAAATGTAAGACCTTCTTGGATTTAACCTTCTTGGATTCATAGATTTAACCCTGTATTTAACCTTCTTGGATTCATAGATTTACAAGTTAGCAAAACTCCTATGCTCACTGACTATATAGTACTGATTCCAAATTTTCCAGAGTCAAGAACAGTCATACTTTTCTCATACAAATGTTCCCAGTGATTCATTTGGAATGGAAAAGTATAAGCTTTTAACTTTGAAATAGGAGTCAGACAAGTATATGAAATAAAGTGAACTCTTTGAAAATCAAATAACGAACGTCCTCAATAAATGCAGTGTTCAATAATGTCCAAAGAAAAGAAATACTTCTCAGCAACTCATGAATAGTAAGGATGAAACTTAAGTTTTAAGTAGTACTCACATACAAGGCAAACAATTGGTTGGCAGAGGATTATGGTTAAACACCAAGAACATCTCCAGAGGGAAATCTGTTATTTGATAGTGTAAAAGAAAATCAACCATTTTAATTTTTACTTCCCAATTAATTCTTACAACATTTGTTTTCATCTAAAATCAGGCTTAGAAATTGTCTTTATCAGTGGCTTTTTAAAGTGTTTTGTACTATGGAAACTTGGAATAGGACATTACTGATGAATATCATATGACATACCGCTATTTTGGAGACATTCAACTTGAAGGCAATTGAAGGATGGATGGTAGAAAGAGAGAAGTGGAAAAATTAATATTGGAATTTCTGAAGAAGTAAATTCTAGACCAGTGTTTTCCATGTGGCAGCGAAATTCTAGTCTTCAGATAGTCCAGGAAAAATTTTAAAAAGCGGCATGGGCAAAAATAAGTTTTAGATAGGAGGTATATTGTTCAGCACACAAGAGGCAGCAAAGTAATTCATCTGCTTTTAACCAGTGTTCCTCGAACTCACTGAATATCACCATAATTTTGTGTTTAATATATCATCAGTTAACATCATGTGTAACTAGTAATTTTGAGAAAAGAGCTCCAGAGTATGTCAGGAAAAAAATGCAAAGGGGATTAACTATATAGTTATTTATTGAATGAATGAATAAATAAATGATTCTACACACATATCACTGTCCCGCTGTTATGAGCAAGACAGACACAGTCCCTGTCATCATAAAGTTTTTCGTATAAATATACCTAAGTATGAATATATAATATATACCATATATGTTATGCATACAACCTTATTTTATGTAAGTAAAGGGGGGAAATGCAGACGCTAGATTTAAATATGATTAATTTGCTTACATGTTAACAGTTGTTTTACTTTTTCTATCAGTGTTGTTCCAATATCTGATTTGTAGATTATCACTAATCGTTTCTCTATTACAATTGGAAAATTTAAAATCCTAGTGTATTGACTTGGCTATATGTAAAATATAAAGTAATAGTGTAGTGGTCAAGAAAGAAATTTCTAGATTTAGTATAGGTCAACATGTCAGGTCCCAGGCAACTCTCTGCATCTTTGGTTCTTGGGGTGCTCTTGGCCAAAGAATATTCAGGCACCCCCCAAAGTAAGGTAAGTGTTAAAGTTTATTGAGAAAGAAAAAGATAGGTTTACAGAGTAAGAGCAAGGTATAGGCTAGCAGAGCAAGATACATTCACCATAGACAACCAGCTGGCCTCCTTTGACACAAGAAAGGAGTTGGTTTGTGCTGCCTACCTAGTGATTGGGCCTACCTTGTGGTTCAGCAGTCACCTTCGAACCACAGTTATACTGTACATGCAGACCTCCCATGAGTCTCCCTGAAAGCCCATTGGAGGGACCACAATGTAGATTTAAGCTACTGATGTGATAATTAGCCTTAAGGTTGTTCTAGTTCACCTTCAAGACTCTTTTGTACCTATGACGCTGGCCTGTGAGCTAGAGAGTCCTCTCCATCTTTTTATACTTGACACACTAAGTACTGATTGGTAGATTGGCAGGGTGTGCCCTCCTCCTCAGGTGTGAGCAACCAGTCAAGACAGAATTAAGGTGAGATAGGCACTTGGAGGCCCTGCCCTTGTCTTTTTTCCCTAGAGAACCCGGTTTCTAGCTCTCTACCTAACAAAGTCAATGTCTCAATTTTTGCATCTATATAATGGACACAATAATGACCTGTCTTCATAGGAAGACTAAACGACATGCCTGGCAAACAAACCAAAACAAACAAAAAAAATGAGTAAATAAATTCTAGCTATTATCATCATTTTCATTGTTTTTATTATAACAAATAAGAATATACAAACAAAGTTTGATATAGGATGAACAACAGGGCTCTGCTTGGGTAGTAGGCTTACAGATAATTATTTTCTTTCTACTTCCTATGATGACACATCCTATGATGTTTATTTATTTTTTTAAAGAGCATTAAAATTTAAAACTTTATTAACTGTAGATGGGCTATCTAGATGAAATTGCCTTCATGCCGAATGGCTTTGTGTTCACTTTTCAACTCTTCAATTTAAAATACTTGCACATCCCTGGAGGAACAGACAATTCTGAGAAATCACTTTCTGCAAGACACTGGGGCAAGAAGCCAGAGTCTTTACAATGCCAGGAAGTCAACAGAAGCCTGCTCTGCTGACCTGGACACAGTGACTCGTAGCTTCCTGTCAGTATCCTTGGGAATGACCAGGCTTCCTTGTGATTGGACTCTTGCCCAACAAGATAATTTTCCATCAAAAAGAAAAAGAAAAAAACACTCTCCCCGATTCCCTCTCCTTTAGTGTTTTATTCCCCCAACTCCAAGAAATGACACCATAAAAAGAGAGTTCTCGTTACCTGAGCAGTTAACATCTGAGCTCCTGAAGATTTCCAAGGTACCCAGGGAAGCAAAGTCATGATATCAAAAAATATAATATTCATCTCCATTCAAACATCCCTCCCCAATTAATGCTCCTGTGCATCAAGTCTAGCTTTGTCTGGCAGTCTCTTTCTGATTTATCCAAATATAAAACTAAGATGCAATGTAAATTAATTGCTAAGTAAAATCTCAATTTTTGCAGAAGAGTCAGGATTTCATGAAGTCAGTGGAAGTGACGTTGTAGAACAGCTTATATCACCTTCAGAACTGGTGATGAGTGAGGCTTTGGCAGATAAAGAATAAAACATTGGCAAGGATGGAGACATGTCAGTTCCAAAGGGAATGAAGCAGCTATCAAAGGATTAAGAGTGGCCCTTCGAAAAATTGATAAATCTCTTAATTAATTTTGTAAATGTTACCTTTTGGAATACAGAGTGTTGAATGGGAAGTAAAGGTTATCATTTTTAGCTATTAAAATTTTTTTACAAAAATTACATATAACCTCTCGAATGAGAAAATATAGTCTTTATCATTTCTAAGAATTATCTAACCATTTTAATTATATCCAGAATATAAAATAAAAATATTTTTGTAATTTCTTTTTGACTTGACATTCTTACTATGGCCTATCAGTTCCTTTGTGCTCTGGCCCTGGAGATAGCTAAACTGGCCTCCCCGCTGTCATTATAGTGGATAAACCTGATCCTGCCCCAGGATCTTTGCCCTCTCCAGTCGCTTTGCTTGGAACACCACCTCCAAGACCCCCTCCCTAA